TTTACTCAATGATGACGAATAGGGGGCGGATCGAACCGCGCATATGTTCACCCGCCGTAGCGAACGCGAACATGCTATGTTCGCCAGGAACTATTCGCCAGGGAACCGTTCGGTGCATCACTACTAACAATAACATAGCCACTCCCTGACTATTGCTGGAAAGCTAAATCCATCTATAAAGCCTTGTATAATGTAAAACTGTATTTTGTTTGTGGTCTGTATTTTGTATAAATGTTGGTATCTATGGCAGAACTACTGTTGAAAAATGCATGTTCCGGTTTGCCCCCAATTCCCTCTTTTTATGTTATGATTTCTTGTGAAGCTAAGCATGCCACAAGGTCAACACATGCCATATGTCCCAGTTCTGTAGTCACAGAAAAGAGAGCCGACAGAGCTTAATGTGTTATACTCCCTAAAATCTCAATACACTGGTAATCAGTCTTACTAAGTTTCAACTTGAACATTATGTTCACACAACAAATGTGTAATCAGAACTGCAAGAAGACAGTCTGTTCTTCTAGGAGCCTCAATAGAAACATATTGAAACTAGAAGTATTGTTTCCATTGCTGCAACAAAGTTGCCATGAGTTGCATTGATTAGAATATTATGGGATGTTTATAGGCTTTCATTAAAAACAAGATTCAAATTGAGGTCACTTATCCTGTTATATTTCATGTATTTTGCAACCCCCTAAAAACATTTTTTTTTTTACTTTTCTTTACATACTTTATAAAGTAAATGCAACCTCAGATAAACAACACAGGTTTCTGTAGTGGTTATCACATTCACCTCACACGTGAAAGGTCTCCAGTTCAAAACAGGGGGAAAAGTGATATTTTTTAAAGGATCTTAACAGGTACAGGTGTTGTGGTTTTCATGAGCTGTAAGCCATAATCATCGCACTTATGACAAATCACAGCTTGAACTATCTTGCTTTGCATGTAATGCGTCTATCTCATACATTCGTTTCCGCTTTTACGTTGCATTACTGAAATAAATTAACTTTCGCACGATATTCTGATTTTTCAAGTATCACCTTTATAGTTTGAAAAAAAAATGGAGGAAAGAGCATGAGAGGATAGAACCAGAGGAGAAGCCACATTTTACAGAACAAATAAGTCAATCCATTATACTATATCTGTTTATAAAATAATTGAAAATTCTTATGCTGCAGAGCAAATGTTAAATGAGACATGAAATTGTGGCAATGAAATGCTGTTGTTTATAAAATCTTATACAGAAAATAAATTTACTGCACTGAAAAATCAGGCTAAACAAGGGAAAATGAGTGGAAAATATAGGTGGAAACACTAAGTGTCACTCCCCTCAAAAACAGGCCCCTAAAACACAGGTACACATATACTAATTATAAATTCACATAATCTAGTTGTTACTCCAAAATAACTTTTTTGTTCTGTTGGTTTTTTTTTTGTTTGTTTGTTTTTTCTAAAGTTTGTGATACCTTGGATTTTTATAGCCACACAAAAGAAATACCAAAACTAAAAAGGAGACAGACTTGCTGCCAAGAAGGACCAATAAACTAAACAGTTAAGTAAATAGAAAAAAAAATGGAAAAAAGATACGAAGGTAGAGAAATTATTTTCTTTTTTTTCACCCCAGACATTAAAACCAGAAGGAGAAAAATCAATCCTGGAAGACCAATTCATCAATAAACAATCAAAGAAAGATCAATAAGTCCAAATCATAATCCAATTACGCTAGAATTACTAACAGAGGCGTTGGATCAACAATTTGTCAAAATTAAGATAGAACTAGAATTGAACATTAAGGAAATAAAATCAGAGCTAACCACTCTCTCAAAAAAGGTAAAAGAAAACGAAGGAAAAAAATGGAAAATCTGAAATCCATGATTGTATCTCATCAAGAGAGGATCAATCAAAATGAGAATAAAATAACAGAATTGGAACGGAAGATAGGAGACCGGATACATGAACATAAGGCTAAGAGGTATCCCGGAATCTGTCTCCAGTGAAAATTTGGGAAAATTCCTAGAAGATTTTATGATAGACCGGGGAATTGAGAAAGAAGGCTACCCACAGTATTTTCAACGATGGCACAGGGCATTAAAGGCCCCACAGTTGCCATACAATATCCCAAGAGATGTTCTTGTCTGTTGCTCATCTTCCAAAATAAGGAGAACATCTTAAAATCCAGAAAAGAAAAAGTACTATCACCACTTTATGAAAAGATTATGCTTTACCCGGATTTGTCATACTACACCAGAATGAAGAGACGCTCTTTTTCCACATTTACAGCAATACTTAGAGGAAAGGATAAAAGCTATAAATGTGGATTTACGGCTCAAATTTGGATATGGCTTGACTCTAAATGGACACAATTCCAGTCACCAGACAAATTAAGGCTCTGGTTAAGAGAAAAGAATATTATGGAAACAAGTGACATAAGATGCTCTAATAGGACATAAGATGCTCTTTCTGATTGTGGCAGAAATGCCTCTGCCACATGTTCTTGGAGGGGCCTGCTTGCCAGCCTCCTGCCTTAGGACTATGCCCCGTGCAATAGACCTCGCTAAAATACTTCAAAAAGGCTCTGTTCGTGCAATTGGTATTATATGGTTCCATGCGGTTGGTCAAATTATGACTTCCAGGAAATTCCTGAACCCTTGTACCGATCTGGGTGATTTTTGGATATGTTGGTCACCCAGATCGAGGTCATCAGGGGATGTAACTTTTGTGGGGGTTTTGTGTGTTTAAAGGTATGTTGGGGGGTTTGTAAAAATTTGTGTTTTCTGTGCCCTGAGATAATTGAGTTTAGTACAGTTCCTGACTCATTTATATCTCAGGCACAGGGGAGGGATTGACCTATTTTGTATGGGAGTGTCCTGGACCTTAGAGCCAATGTAATCGTGTGTATGTATTTACGGTAGTCTACTCTCAGGTCCAGAGGGGCCTTGCATGGGGACCTGCATATAAGGCCAGTTGTGGCTGCCAATAAAGGAGTTCCTCTTCACCCTCAACATAGAGCCTTGTCTCATGTGTGTAGGGGACTGCTATATTCACTCTGGGGATTGCTATACTCTTATACTCCCCTGGATTATGATCACTAGCTCTTGTAAGAGTTACACTGCTATACCTGCTATATACTTTTGGAGGAGAGGTCTTCTCACTGGGACCTGGATCCAGGAGTTTGGTCCAGGGTGAGAAGGGACCGCAAGACCCCAGCCAAGCTGTGGTGACTATGATGTTTTGGTGCTTATGGTGTCCGGTGCAGTGCTTATGGCACTCGGCGACAACTAGGAAGCAACGATTGGCGGAGGCACCTAGACGGAGTGCCAGGTGGTCTGTCACACCCCACAAAAATCATATGTCCTGATAGTCCCAATCTGGGGTGTGAGGGACCACCTGGCACCCCGACTGGGTACCTCCACCAATTGATGCTTCCTAGCTGATGCTGAGGACCATAAGCACCGCACCGGACAACATAAGCACCGTAGACCCCACAAACCACCACAGCTTGGTTGGGGTCTCGCCGTATCTTCCCATCCTGGACCAATCTCCTGGATCCATGGACTCAGTGAGAAGGACACTCCTCCAAGACAGTATAGCTGTGAAACTCTTATAAGAGCTAGTGGTATAGCTGTGTAGCAGGTTCCCTACAATCACTAAACCAGGCTACGTGTTGAGGGTTAAGCAGGAATGAATTTTAATGGTGCCTTTTATGATGATCCCCAAGGAATGTTTATGTCCACATGAACCTTGTTGGGGACAGGGACACAAACCTACAAACCAATGATAACAAGTTTACAATGTATGACACTCCCACATACAATACAATAAGCCTTCACCTTTAATTAGGAGATAATTGAGTCAAGCACTATACTAAACTCAATTATCTCCAAATACAAAACACACATTTCTTAAAAGTACCAAAAGTACCCCAAAACACATAGTATCCCCACAAATGTTGCATCCCCTGATAGCCCTGATCTGGGTAGCCAACATATCCAAAAATCACCCATATCAGGTCGGGGGTTCAGAAATGTTATGGTCGTATTTTTTACCGACCGCAGGCATGGTCCCATAGCTGAAAATAGTTCAATTGAATCGCGGCTAAGTGCCGCTGGAGGACTGACCAGGAACCACAAGGTTTTCAGGCCGCAATTAGTTCAATAGAACTAAATGCCGCTGGGGAACCGACCGGGAACCGCAAAGTTTTAATGACGAAAATAGTTCCAGGGCATTCGCAGCTAAGTCCCCATGAAGTATATTTGCGGTTTTGGTGTATGCGAACAAGATGCCCGCCACCAGGGCCGGATTAACATAGGGGCTGATGCCCTTGGAATAGGCCCATTGATTTTAAAAAAATTAAGTTTTTTTTTTTACTTTTTTTTTTTAACACACTACTCTTAGGGTTGCCACCTGGCCAGCATTTATTTGAGGCTGCCTGGCCGGTGCCGATATTGCAGTAATACCGGCAATACAAATGCCGGTATTTTTCTCAGTTTCAACAGAGATTACTCTGCATTACCAGCACCGGCCAGTAGGGGTTTCTGTGTGTGTGTGGAGAGAGGCAGGGATAGGAAGTTACAGCATATACCTGCATCTCTCTACTTACTGATCCACGGGGGAGCAGCTACACAGCACAGAGATTCCAGCCTGCAGCTCCCAGCCTGCAGAGACAGCCTACATATCAGGGAACTGATGGATGGGGTAAAGGCTGCAGGGAGACATGGGGACACTGAGACACTAGGGGACACAAGGGTAAGACATGGGGGAAAAAGGGAAACCTCTCGTGACGCCGAGACACTTGGAGACACTGAGATGCAGACACACATGGGAACATTGAGACATGGGGACACTCGGGGATACTGAGACATGGGGACACTGAGACTTGGGAACACTGAGACACTAGGGGACACTGGAAGACTTGGGGACACTTGAGGACACTGAGACACTAGGGGATGCTGGGAGATATGGGGACACAGACAATTGGGGACACAGACACACATGGGGACACTTGGGGACAATGAGACACTTGGGGACACTGGGAGACATGGGCACACTGAGACACTAGGGACACCGCCAGTGTCCCTGGTGTCTCAGTGTCCCCATGTCTCCCAGTGTCCCCATGTCTCCCAGTGTCTCAGTGTCCCTAGTGTCTCAGTGTTCCTATGTCTCCCAATGTCCCTAGTGTCTGTGTCCCCATGTCTTCCAGTGTCTCCAAGTGTCTCAGTGTCCCCAGGTCTCTGTGTCCCCTAGTGACATGGGGACACTGGGAGACATGGGGGCACAGACACTAGGGGACACTGGGTGACATGGGGGCACTGGGCAACACGAGGACACAGAGACATGGGGACACTGGGAGACATGGGGCACTGAGACACTGTGATAGATAGTGACACTGTGATCAGTGCTGGCCTTAGGCCTTTAGACGCACTGTGCAAAAAGAAATTCACAGCCCTCCCCACCCATCATCCATGTATAGTGTGTGTGTATAGAAGTGATTGTATAGGGGATTTATTAAATAATAATGATAAAAAAAAAATATTAATTCCATCTTTCCTGTTGTTACCTAGTTGGGAGAGGGGGCATGCTGATCTGAATCTGGTCTGCACCTCCACTAGGCACAGATCATGCATAACTGTCTTGCAAGCTCAGGGACCTGCAGTGTCCTGTGATATACTGTGGCAGCGCTCTGATTACCCCGAGCTAGGAAGACAGCTACTTATGGTCTGCAGCCAACAGAAGTGCAAGACAGAAGTGCCAGACTGCCTCCCCTACATTACACATAATACTGTAATAGGGTTTTGCTTTGGAGCTATGGATTATAGTTATTTACCTTGACCTCTTTGGAATAAATTTTTTTAGAAATGCACTACTTCTCCATTTATCACAGAGCACCACAACAATAAAACTCCCAGTAATGTGGAGCTCTATGACAAGATCATACAGTACACAACAATACAACTCTAAGTAATGTGTCTATTAGTGTATCACCGAGCTCCCTAATTATAAAACAGAATAATGTGCATTTTATATACCAGAGCTCCACTGTAATACAAATCACTATAATATGATGTAATGTTTATGTTGTCTGTGTATATTATTGGTGTGATGACTGTGTGTGATATATATGCTATGTGTTGGCTGTGTGTGATATTTGTAATGGGTGTATTAACTGTGTGTGATATGCGTGTATTGATTGTATGTAATATTTGTGCTGGGTTTATTGGCTGTGTGTGATGGGTATTTAATTCAGATAAAAATATGCAATTAAGCCTATGTGTGAATGCAGGTTTATATTTTGCAGAGTTACGTGCACACAGTCCCACAATCAGATGCGCACAGTTATACATATACACTGTCAAATCCACCACATACACACAGTCGCAAGCAGATAGGCACATATACAGGATCAAGCAGAAACACACAGGTACAGGCAGTAACACACATACACAGTTACAGGCAGATAAACACACTCACACACAATTACAGGCAGACAGCCCCACACACACACAGGCAGACAGCCTCACACACACAGGCAGACAGCCCTACACACACAGCCGCACATACAGTCTTATACACACATACTTAGATGCAGACAGTCACACAAACACAAACACAGACAGGCAGTCACACACACAGGCAGACAGTCACACACACACAGGCAGACAGTCACACACACACACACAGGCAGACAGTCACACACACACAGACAGATCATCACACAGACACAGGCAGTCACACACACAGACACACACAGGCAGACAGTCACACACACAGACACAGACACACACAGGCAGACAGTCACATACACAGACACACACTGAAACAGATATTAATTTACCCGGAGATATGTTCAGGTGGAAACCAAATTGACACTTTTATTACGAGCTGCTCGGCGAAAGTAATCAGACCAGACAGTTTTTGATTAAAAGATTACTTCCCTATTTTATTGTGTAAGCTTAAAGATTATGTACTACTTTGTATAAACAGCTTTGTGACTTGTGCGACAAAAATCGAATGCTAGAAGTCAAACTTTACCATAAAAGGAATTTACAGAACTAAGCATATTTCAATGGTTATATATATAAAACATTAGGACATCAGTGGGGGGGTTGAGGGTAAAGCTGCAATTGTCTCCTCAGAAACAACAGAATGTCACAAGTCATAATTTTATGCTTACTTGTGCTTATTTGTCAGATAGTCAAAACTAGACTAAAAGTTTAAAAAAAATAACATGAAAGTAAAAACAGACAGCACATCCAGTCATCTTAGTAGCTTGAGCCTGGGGTCAAAGCACCTATCATTATAATTCCATTACAATTTCCCTCTTTTTGACCCCACGGCTTACCCAGGTGTCTGAGGTATGTCCAGGTATGCTAGTCAAAACCTGTGGGTCTTTTATTAATGCCTTCACCACGGCTCCCTCAGACAGGGCAAGCCAGGGGTCACAGGAGGAATATCCCTTTATCAGTTATACAGCTCTGTAGGTGTTAGAGGTTGAGGAAGCTGGCATATAAGTTAAGGTACGACCAACATGAGGTTTTGGTTTACACAAGGATGATAGAAGACAGGAGAAGAACTTAAATGTCAGAAAAATCATCATTATTATAAATACTGCGATAAGTAAGAAATACAATATTTTCTTAATTAACATACTTATCCATGTACCAAAGACCAAAGGTTCAATCTCAGTCCCCAAAGAACCCTGTATCTTGTTTTATTTACTTCACTAGATTGTGAAGAATCTGTATATGCTCATGGATCATGGTTCATTGATCCGAAAGATTAAAGCAACACATGCCCTTTACTGCCTCACACCCTAAATCATGTTTCATTAACAAATAGTCAATAGCTGCCCTATTTTCAAGGAGCGCTTTCTTATTAAACTGCTTTCCATTAGAGGTTCCACCAGGGCCTGGGATGTCGCATTGAAACCTTTTTGGCGAGGGAACAGGCTAGGGCATTAAATACTTAAATGCTTGCAGGTGTAATGGGGGAGTACTTATTATAGTTTCAGTTTAACGTCGCAGCTGAAATAAAAAGTTACTACAAACGCATAAAATAAATATGTTACTACGCAGTTAGAATTACAGAAATAGAAAACAGCAAATAAGACCAACGCTCTGAGACAGGAAAGTTTATAGCTCTGTCTAGGGGTATTTTCACTAAGCATTGTATATATACATAATATATTATTTCAAATAGATAACATGCTCCAAGTTAGCTAATTTTAAACAGACTGAACATCCAGTCATCTGTAGCTGGAGCTTTGGGTCAGTATAGGCAAAGTGTATAATTCCCAACACTTTCCGACCTTCGTTCACAACATGAACGACTATAGTCAAAGTGGGAATAATACCCATCCCTCGTCCGTGGACCAGGGTTTAGGATTACCAGTCCACACAGTGATCTGGGCCCAGGTGGAAAAAAAACAGTGACAAAAAAAACTCATATTTGAGAAAAAAAAACACATCTAGGGAAACCCTGAGTGGGGACCACAACCATATAGACGTGTAATGCTTCACATTGACAACACCTGTGACTTCTAATAGCCGTACCTGTAAATACATAGCTTGGGTATTGGGAGGAGATGGGAAACACTTCTTGATAATGGTGGCAAAAGCCAATTTGCATATTATCATCATTAAGTATATTATCATCAAACTCGCAATTATTACAGTAATTGCAACCAGGACCTTACGTCCTATATCTCATAACCATTTCCCTATTCCAAAGGTCAAGTCAAACCCAATCATATCCACACCCAGTTCCTCACAACATGGGAATCCATCCTTGGCACACTCAACATACATCAACAACACCTACTAGATCCTTCCCTGGGCCAGCTAACACTTCCTTCCTCTCTGGCTAACGCTACAAAAACAAAAAAATAGTTCAGAAAAGTTCAGAAAAAAAAATAGAATAAGTCCTTCAAGGAGTATAAATTTGGACACCATACATTTTGTTCCATAAAATAGCTAAGGGTAGCAATATGGTGATATTCTATCACTTAGATCTGTGTAACAAGTGTTGTAGGTGTGAAACAATATTACAAGTGACCGATGTAGTAAATTTGAATCAAAGTTACACTTTGATTTGACTATCAGATATGAAGTGAACACCCCAAATATACTATTTAGCGCCCCCCAATTTTTTTTTTTTTTAAATTGACTTTTTAAAACTCCAATGTGAGCAGCAGATTAGCAACAAAACAATTAGAATGTTTAAAAGTGCGCAGAAAACACACTAAGAGACACTTCGATTTGACTCTCACATATGAAGAACAGGCCCCAAAATGTACTATTTAGCAGATTAGCAGCAAAACAATTAGAATGTTTACAAGTGCGCAGTAAGCGCACTATTAGACGCTTCTATTTGACTCTCAGATATGAAGAACAGGCCCCAAAATGTACTATTTAGCAGTTTAGCAGCAAAACAATTAGAATGTTTACCACTGTGCAGTAAACACACTATTAGATGCTTCTATTTGACTCTCAGATATGAAGTGCACCCCACTCATGTACTTTTTAGCACCCAAAACATTTTAAGTTTTAAAACTGCAATGTGACAGCAGTATTTGACGATTCTATTTGACTCTCAGATATGAAGTACACCCCACTAATGTACTACCCCACTAATGTACTATTTAGCAGCAAAATAAAAATTACTTTTTAAAACTCTGATGTAACCGTGGTATTTGAAGCTTCTATTTGACTTTCAGATATGAAGTGCACCCCACCCCACTAATGTACTAATTTGCAGAATTCTTTCCTAAGCTGTCCCTAGCGGCAGAATTCTCTCCCTACACTAATAAGAGCGCATGTGCATGCAGCGCTATATATAGAGGCTGGGTCACATGCTGCACTAGCCAATCACAGCCATGCCATTAGTAGGCATGGCTGTGATGGCTTCTAAGGGCACACGAGTCAAATGCTTGTTGATTGGCTGCCCTGCAGCCTTTGAAAACGCGCCATTAAATCACCGAACTCCAACCCGAACATACAGTGATATGTCCGTGTTCGGGTCCGGGGTCCAAAAAACCTAATGTTCAGTAAGAACCCGAACTTTTCAGTTCGGGTTCGCTCAACTCTATTCAGAACATATTATTATAAGGTTAGCAATTTTAATTTGTATCAGA